TCAGCAATGTGACAGGATATAAAATCAATGCACAGAAATCAGTTGCATTTCTATACACTAACAATGAGACAGAAGAAAGAAATTAAGGAATCGATCCCATTTACAATTGCACCAAAACCCATAAGATACCTAGGAATAAACCTAACCAAAGAGGCAAAGGATCTGTACTCAGAAAACTATAGAACACTCCTGGAAGAAATTGAGGAAGACACAAAGAAATGGAAAACGTTCCACGTTCATGGACTGGAGGAACAAATATTGTGAAAATGTGTATCTACACATTCAATGCAATCCCTACCAAAATACCATCAACTTTTTTCACAGAGCTGGAACAAATAATCCTAAAATTTGTATGGAACCAGAAAAGACCCCAGATAGCCAGAGGAATGTTGAAAAAGAAACCAAAGCTGGTGGCATCACAATTCCAGGCTTTAAGCTCTATTACAAGGCTGTAATCATTAAGACAGCACGGTACTGGCACAAAAACAGACACATAGATCAATGAAACAGAATAGAGAACCCAGAAATGGACCCTCAACTCTATGGTCAACTAAGAACAACTAAGCACAACTTTCGACAAAGCAGGAAAGAATATCCGATGGAAAAAAGACAGTCTCTTCAACAAATGGTGTTGGGAAAATTGGACAGCCACATGCAGAAGAATGAAACTGGACCATTTCCTTACACCGCACACAAAAATAGACTCAAAATGGATGAAAGACCTCAACGTGAGACAGGAATCCATCAAAATCCTTGAGGAGGACACAGGCAGCAACCTCTGTGACCTCAGCCACAGCTACTTCTTCCTAGAAACATTGCCAAAGGCAAAGGAAGCAAGGGCAAAAATGAACTATTGGGACTTCATCAAGATAAAAAGCTTTTGCACAGCAAAGGAAACAGTCAACAAAACTGAAAGACAACCAGTAGAATGGGAGAAGATATTTGTAAATGTCTTACCAGATAAAGGGCTAGTACCCAAAATCTATAAAAAAAACTGATCAAACTCAACACCCAAAGAACAAATAATCGAATGAAGAAATGGGCAGAAGACATGAACAGACAGACAGTTCTCCAAAGAAGACATCCAAATGGCCAAAAGACACATGAAAAAAAATGCCACATCACTCGGCATCAGGGAAATACAAATCAAAACCACAACGAGATACCACCACACCAGTCAGAATGGCTAAAATTAACAAGTCAGGAAACGACAGATGTTGGCGAGGATGTGGAGAAAGGGGAACCCTCCTACACTGTTGGTGGGAATGCAAGCTGGTGCAGCCACTCTGGAAAACAGTATGGAGGTTTCTCAAAAAGTTGAAAATAGAGCTACCCTACGACCCAGCAATTGCACTAGTGGGTATTTACCCCAAAGATACAAATGTAGTGATCTGAAGGGGCACCTGCACCCCAATGTTTATAGCAGCAATGTCCCCATAGCCAAACTATGGATAAAGAAGCGTGTGTGTGTGTGTGTGCGTGTGTGTGTGTGTGTATATAGAATAGTACTCAGCCATCAAAAAAAAAAAAGAAATCTTGCCATTTTTGATGACGTGGTTGGAACTAGAGGGTATTATGTTAATTGCGGTAAGCCAATCAGAGAAAGACAATTATGATCTCATTCATATGTGGAATTTAAGAAACAAAACAGAGGCTTATAGGGCAAGGGAGGGAAATATAAAACAAGATGAAATCAGAGAGGAAGACAAACCATAAGAGACTCTTAATCATAGGAAACAAACTGAGGTTTGCTGGAGTGGAGGGTAACCTGGGGGCCAGGATAACTGGTTGATGGACATTAAGGAGAGCATGTGATATAAGGATACTGGGTAATACAGAAGACTGATGAATCACTGAACTCTACGTCTGAGGCTAAGAGTACATTATATGTTATTTAATTGAATTTAAATTTAAAAAATATTAAAAAACAAAAAGAGACACATAGATCAATGGAACAGAATAGAGAACCCAGAAATGGACCCTCAACTTTATGGTCAACTAATCTTTGACAAAGCAGGAAAGAATATCCAGTAGAATTTCCCCTTAGGGTAAGGAAAGAGGTTCTTTTTTTTTTTTTATTTATTGACAGAGAAAGCAGCATAAGCAGGGGGAGCAGAAGAGGGAGAGGGAGAAGCAGGCTCTCCACTGAGCAGTGAGCCTGAGGCGGGGCTCGATTCCAGGACCCTGGGATCATGACCTGAGCCAAGGCAGAGGCTTAAGGGACTGATCCACCCAGGTTCCCCAAGGACAGAGGTTCTTATCAAGCAGATCCCCTGGTTTTCCTCTGGGGGAGGGAGAGGGCGGGCCCAGGTAACAGATCACCTCATTGGTGTTGACAAGAAAATTCCAGATTGATTGTCTTAAAATTCCTCTCCTGGAGAGGCTGAAAGTGCAATTAAATCTTCCTTTGCTGTCCTGGGGACAAGTGACTCCACCTTGGCCCCTGTTTTTCTTTTTAACAGAACTGATTTTGTTATTCAATAAGTATATAAAGGGATATGTAGATTTACTTATGATAGGGCTTCTCATTTGTGATAAGAAGCTCTTAATAAGTGTGTTCTGTGGTGTCCAAATAGGCAAAAAAATTTGGGAGTTAAAAATACAAGAAAAAAATTTGGCAGTACTTAAAAATATTGAGAATACTTAAGATTTAAATCCTTCCAGATTAGAAGTTACATTATTATATCTAAATAACTTCATGGTAGTTGGCAGTGTACAGTAACTGATCTTTTAAGGTTGTATTAAATAGAAGATTGTTTACATGCATTAAAGTGCCTTTTCTTTGAAGATTCTAGATTCTTGTGATTCATGAAGCTGAGACCCTTTATGAATTCTAAATCTTTAATACTAGTAACATAATCTCAATTTCTTCCTCTAGAATGAAGATAAGAATGTTTACAGTGCTGTTGTGTCAGACTTAAGTGAGGATAAAACCTTTTTGAGTTTCAAATTTGGGTCAGATTAGTTAGGTTCCTCTTTAGCATAATTGAGCTCGTCCTGAATTCCTGGTTTATTCTACTAAATATCTTGCCAAGTTAAGTTTCTGAAGGTCAGGAACCTAATTTGTTTTGAAAGCTGAGCCCAATTCTGGAAATATGAAGTAGTTAATCCACTTTCTTTTCCTTTGTTCAGATTTGAATGAATATCAATAGAGTGTTGTTGGAGTAGTACCAGGCAGTAACTGTGACCTAGGTTCCAATCCCTTACCATGATTTCACCTCTGTGTATTATCTGTAAATTGGTAAAAACAAAGCAAGACAAACAAAAACACTGTCATAATTCTTGTGGTTTTGGAGATAAAATGAAAGAAAATTGGATGTAAGTGATAAATTGCTATATACATGGAATTAGTTTTTACCATTTTCTTTCAGGTTTACCTCAATGCATATGGATGGTGTTCCAGATTCAGTTCTGAAGTTTACAGGTTAATAACACTACATTAGTATAGTCCAGTTGACTAATACTTCATATTCATAATCTTGTAGGAAGCTGGCAAAGCTGGAAGTAGAACTCATCAGATCTTGCTACTTCTTTGTGACACTGCCAATTAATTTGTTTCAAGTATCAAGAGCACAGACACTGGATAATAGCAAGTCACCAGAATCCTATGGTATCTCAACAAGTCAGGTTTTCTCAAAATGTCTAGGTTTCTGGAGTACAGGGAAAGCTTTTTAGGTGGAAGGTGGCTCCCCTGTGATTTATAGGAAAAAGTACCAACCCTAACTTACTTTATGGATACCCAGTCAGGTTGCCCATGGCAACCTCAGTCACAGAGGACTGACTCTCATCAATCACCTTCTACTACCTTCTGATCATCTTTGGCCCAAAATGTAATAAACCAAATCTAGTCAAAACAGAGGACAAATTAGCTGATAAATTTTGTTGGCATAATTTGTACCACATAATCAGGAAATGTTAGGGTCTACCTGAATCTTTTTGACTTCCAGGATAATTCACAAATGTTCACAGACTCAGAAACAAAATACTCATTGCTTTTACTTTTTGTCATAGGTCACTGCAGTTTTCTTATTTGGGTTTCACCCTCTTCAAATCTGATATTCTTAAAATGTGGAGGTCAAATTGATACAATTAAAAACAAAACAGCCTTATACAAAGAGTAATAAAAGGATTATTTTAAATGCTCTGCCAGGTTACACATAGGATCAGCAAATATTATTTACTTAAGTATAAGAAAGTTAATTAAAATTGTAAGTGATTCTTCTAAAATTGACGGTCTTAAAAAATGACTGTAAAAGTGCCTTGAAAAGAATAAAAATCCACAAAGAGATGGTATTAGCTTTCTCACTAATGTAATTTTCAGGCTCCCCTGGAATTAGAGAAAGCCAAGCCACTGTGACTTTTCAAACTTCTTCCTCATACACATTTTTAAAAAGATAAATAAGTCATTGAGATAATAAAAATGCTCTTTATGGAAGCTGTAATTTTAAGATTAAAAAATCATCTTTTTATGTTGTAGTCACAGGTGATGTTAACTATAGCAACACCAAAAGCAAACAAAAAACCCTCCAAAAGTCTAATTTTGAGGCACCTTTTGTTTCTGCTCAGTGCCATCATTCTCCTTGTTATTGCTTTTCTTATTTATCTTTTTTTTTTTTTTGCCACAATTGGGGGACAGAACCTTAAGTTTAACCTTAAACCTTTCTACGTTTCCACCAAAAGTGAATACAAGTGCACCATATTCTTTTTTCTTTTTTTTGCTCTTGTCCTTTTGAACGAGGCACAGTGTAAAAAAATGTAAAATTAACAAGGTACGTTTTTCTCATTTAAAGCCATCACCGCAGTTGCACACCATCCCCAATCATTTTATACTTCCAGAGGCAATTCTGGCTCAACGCGATGCACATTTACATCTGTGTAGCCCAGTGGTTGCCCAGAAAGGTGTTTCTTGGGGGGTGGGGAGAGTGGCGGTGCGGGGTGCCCCAAATTTATAGCAAGGAATACCAACTGTCAAAAACATTCAGCCCTCTGCCCACACCCACCCAGTCGTACTCGGTCATTCTCGGTATCTTCTTTATTTTTTCGGCAAACGGAGTCTTTCCCGGCAGCGGATGGCAAGAAGACCAGCGAGCGCGCTGAGGAGAAGCCTTTTTACTAGATCCAATTAAAGCCACAAAGAAATCGTGAACCGTCCGCTAGATCAATAGGTATCAACTAATCCGCCTAATCCAGGGAGCCGCCCTCGGGGTGAAACCGCGAATCCTTTAGAGTGGTGGTAGCCGCCCGTCTCCATAGCAACCGGCCGCGGAGCCTCTCTAGTGCCGGGGCCCGGATGTTGTGGGGATCGCTGCCGCCCCGCCTAGCTTCCTGCCGCCGAGCCAGGGCGGGCTGCGCTCCTCTTCGGGAGTCGTAGTTCTTCCCTCCTCCCGCGCCCGACATGAGGAGAGGTAGGGACTACGAGTCCCGGCATGCGCTGCGGCGCCCCCCCGGCCACCGCCTCCCGGCTGAGGACGCCAGCGAGCAGGTTGTTGTTTTTAAGTGAGGCGTCACTGTGTCGGAGCTGTGACCGCCGCCACCGCGACAGTCTACACAGTCGGGCGGAGGTGGCGCTGCCCGTTCAGGTACGGCCCTGGGTGGGTTGGGACCCCGGGAGAGGAGTCTCGGCCGCCTGTCGGGGCCCTGTCCGGCACCCACTGCTGAATTGTCTGGCGGAGGCAGAGGCGGGGTCTTCTCTGAGCCTGGGGGCTGCTCCGGCAGGGACTGCTTGGGGGGTGGCTGACTCCCGGCAGAAGCTGGCTCAAGGGTGGTGTGGGAACGCGAGTCCGCAGCCCCCCAGGTGATCCGGCCCCTGAGGCATAGGGTCGGGAGGTCTTGCAGCCTCCGATCCCTGCTTGCGGACCGGAGCGGCGTACCAGGGAATCGGGGGAGCTGATGGCCGGGGGGACCCTTCTTCCTTCACTAGGCTGGCTGGGGCACTTCTTGGTCTTGATTGATGAGAATCCATATGGTAAGATGTTATGTGCGTCACCCGGCCGGTTTTTTTTAGCCGGCCCATCTTTTTTGGTGACGTTTGAGCCCCGTGATGCCAGGAATAGAAGGATTAAATATTAAATAATGCAGCTGAGATTTCTGCTTATACGCCAGGCTGACAGTGATCAGATCCCCTTCCTTATCCTTTTCCCCCTCAACCGGCCCACTTTAGCGTGGTCTTCCTAAACGATAACTCCTCTGTAGCAGCTGTCCACACAGTTCCTTGTATGCTCTACATATTTATCTTTGTTTAATGAATCCAGCTCTGCCATTGGGAGCGGCAATTTTAACGAACTCAGTCAATTACGGTGCTTTGTTGGGTGGGTGAAATTTGCACTGCTTCACAATTGCTTTATTTAAAAACGAAGTGGAGCTTTCTTGTAGCTAGAATAGGTAACTGTTGAGTCCTGCGAATTTTAGATTTGCCTCCTCCAGTAGGGTTACATCCATTGGATAGTGCTTGAACTGTCTCTTAGCGCTTCATATTTTTGGTTTAAGGTTTGAATCTTACGAGATCCCACGTTTCTCAGGGGGATACAATATATTACACCTTGGATGCTAGTGTGAATGGTTTACTATTCTTTGCCGAGTTCTCATCATAAAGGTGAAGGGACAGGAGAAAGTGAGGGTATTATTTTAATGCGTAATTTTTAACCCTTTAAGCGAAGGATAGGATTCTAGTTAAAGAAGTTAATTAAATAAAAATCATTCTCAAATAATATTCAAGGGTGTGGGAAATACTTTTTAAATGAAAACAGGTTAGAAAATATAATTCTAATTTTGTAAATGAAACTATAGAACCAGAAGTGGTCATGTCTACTAAAAATAAGTTGAAAAGATAGTTATAAAAATGATCAGATGGTGAAACCATAAATGACTTTTTCTTTATATTTTCTGGTATTTTCCGAGGAAAAGAACTTAGTTTAAGAAAAGGATACAGGTGCAGCAATTCCATAGACCATTTAAACGTTGCTTTAAAAAGCAAATAAGCAACAACAAAAAACCTACACAGAGCCCCTGTTACTGCATCCACAGATTAATTTAAGTGTAAATTATTTATCTGGAGGGGCAAGAAATGCATTCATTGGATTAAAAAGGAAAGAAGCCCCAGATATGACAATAATTCTTAGCATTTGTACATCTCATTTTAATCTGTTTTCATTTTGTATGGTAAAATCAATGACAAAAGTGCTTAGTCTTTAGTTAAGGCAGTGCAATATTGATTATTCCTGTAAGTCTATCAGGTGACAAAAGATGGGCATATTAATCTGAAAAGACCTAGAGATAGGAGAATTTTAAATTTATTATTTGTAAGCATTTGCCAGTGGAAATAAAGAAGTTAAGCAATGATGAAATGGGGGCTTTTAAAGCTTGTTTTCATTAAATCACTTTGAGTACCGTGTTTTATATAGTACTGATATTTTGGATTGTGCTTACTTTTATTTTCTATTATAGATATGTTGGATATGAATGGGTAAGAAGCGTATTATTTAGCCCACATTTTGTTTTCTGTCCTAAAGAAAGGGTCACATTGGTCTTCTGTAGGAATATTCTATGTATTTTTGCAATTATCAGCCCTGAAAAATTGAGGTTTAACCTCAACTCCAAGTATCCATTAAGTCTTAATACAATATCCATTCTGAAGCTTTTTTTTGTTTTTTTTTCAAGCTATAGTATTCGTATTTTATTTTCTTTGAAGCTTTGCTTCCTCCTCAAATTTCAATTCTTTTTCACTATTTTATGATCTTTTAATTTTGTATATATTGTGTATTGTGTTAGCTCAATATCTTACTAGATAATTGAGTCCATTTACAGGGCATAAGAAACAAATTGATTAACATGTTTGATTTACTAACTGGTTCCATAGTATTGTAGTCTCTATTGTGTAGTTGTATTCTTATCTAAGTTAAATAAAGATTTTAAAAAGCTAGATGAGTATGAACTGCTAAGATCCTAGAGCAGTAGTTTCTGACATGTAAAGAACGTGGACACAGCAGCAAGGCCTGTTAAGCCCAGGATATTTTAAAACAGAAAATGCAGACTCATCTAACAATGCAGAACTACTAGAGGCTGGATTGTTTGCATGTTTATGTGTGGTTAGGTGAGGAAGTTGCCGTAATGTATGTGATAAGTTACATTTTCAAGAATTTCCTTGCTGGCAGTTTTACAGTTTTGACTAGATTAAAACAAATTAGGGATGTGAGTGTGTTTCAAAGGTACTGCACCAGATAAACTTGAAAAAAGTTTCTCAGTTTGAGTTCTAAGATGAAATTTAGCCCTATAATGTGGGAAGGATTGGAAGTAACTGATAAGTTTAGGGATTTCCTTTTTTTAAAGGGCATCTGATGTGTGGAAACTTGTTTAAGGGCTGGTAGGTTTTTTGAAGGAATTATTAAAAAATAAGTAAAGTGAGTCAAAGATTTTCCTCCTTCATTACAGGAAGTCAGAAATCTAATTTTTCTTTAGTATCCATAAATCACTATCCTAAAACCTTCTGGTTCGTGTTACCATCATGATGAAATTACTGTAAAAAGAGCATTGGAATGGGAATCAGGATGTTTAATGATGTTGAGTGCATAATTTGTGACTGTCTTGTTTCCATGTGTACATTGTATATAATATCCAATTACCTTACTTCATGGGGTATTTGTGAAGCTCAAATCGGGTATGAAAATGACATCACTTTGTAAGTGGCGGAGTGATCTGCCCCTACAAAGTACTATTGGCCTACATATAAGTAGGCCAATACATAAAGTATATTGTGCATTTGAAGTGTGGTAAGAATGTGATATGTATTTCTTGACTGGGAAGTTTGATGGAACAGTCAAATGGTATCTTTTTTTTTAATGTTTTTTTTTTTTTATTTATTTATTCATGAGAGTCAGAGAGAGAGAGGCAGAGGGAGAAGCAGGCTTCCCGCAGAGCAGGGAGCCCGATGCGGGACTCGATCCCAGGACGCTGGGATCATGACCTGAGCCGAAGGCAGACACTTAACCATCTGAGCCACCCAGGCGCCCCAGTCAAATGGTATCTTAATTTGAAATTTTGGTAGAGCTTTTGGCTTTTTCTAGGTTGAAGGAAACTTGGCCCCTCTCCTGACTGTGACTTTGCACTCTGCTGCATTAAAGGTCCTGAAACTGCAGTGTGCTTTTTATGGTTGGGCTTTTAATTTTGGTTTTGATTTTTTTTTTTTTTTTTTTGCACATCTAAAGTCTAAGGAAGATCATCATTCTAACTTCTGACAGTAGGAAGTGGATGTTTTTTAATGTTCTAAATGTGTTTAATGTTCTAAAATGTTACTTTAAGTTGATTTCATAACATTGAGCCTACAGTGAATATGAAATCCTAGGTCCTCTGAGAGATACATTGCATGTGTAAGCATTGGTCTTTCAGAAATAGTTTAGAGCTTAGACACCTTCTGGGGAAGTCAGCCCTGCCTATTACAGCATCAGACCCTTGAGATTAACTTTAAGTAAGGTGGGCATACAGAACATTCAAGAAAAAAAGTGTTTTAGAAACTTTTCTGAGGACTTTATGAGAGTAAATATAAGTGAAAGGCAAAGGACTATGTTATGTATCATGCACTGGTTGGTAACAGCTGTTTATATGATTAGTTGATAACTCAGTGTCTTTACTAACATTTTCTAATATTACCACTAAAAAGTAACAATGTATGTTTAATTGGTATTTTTAAAAATGGAAAACAATGGAAATGAAAATCCCTTTGTTTTTCATAAAATTAGGTGAATTAAAAGGTATAGATATATGATGAATATGTATTTTTAATAAGCAAAAATGAATTATTTTTTAAAAATTTGAGAATAGAGGAAAACAAAGAGGCAAAACCCAATAGTTTTACTTATTTATTCATGAAAGGGAAAAAGGTACCACCAGGGGCCCATGGTGCCCAAGTGAGTATAGAGCCTGGTCAAGTTTATGTATGTGTTGGCTCTTTTAGGCTCTTCCAGAATTAAGATATAACAGTCTCGGAAAGCCAGGATCGTTTCTCAGAATGAGCATACCTGGTGAAAGGAATGTTTACATACTAATAGGCATCTTCATTTCCCCACAGTGTTTGAATTCATATTGTTGACTCACTTCATTTCAGACTTTTTATCAAAGGTGTGGCTTCTTTTAGATGGAAGCAAAAGGAGTACTTTTATCTTCAAATATGGTAGTAGTTGCTTTTGTTTCCCAATTGAGGGATGTTACAACATAGAAGGAAACTTGTGAAGAAATTCTGTATTGACTCACTTCTTAATTTATTTTCTACATCAGAAGGTTAATCTGCTGCATGTAATCGCGTTGGTGCCTTTTTCCTCGGCATGGATGAAGTGAAATTAGTACTCTGTTCTAGATTTTTTTTCTTTTCCCAGACACCTATCTTTAGTGATAGATTTCAGTGTTTTAAATGAAATCCCACTCTATTAGAACTAGGAGAGGGCAACTTACTATAGATAGGTTATGGTTGTCTTT